TTTTATGTGTCCTACGGGAGAGTTACAATTTCCTAGTATGCTCCTTCCTTTGCCTGTACCTGCACAAATAACGGAATACTCCGGCTGGGGCTGGGATGTTCCGCCTCCGAAGATTAAGTTAGTCTCTTTCTTAATGAGGAAATAAGACAATAAATGCTTCTCGATTTGAGAGCGTTTGCAAGGGGATTTGTGTTTTGTTGGTTGGTGGAAAATGATTCGATCCCCATTAATGAGGTCTGCCCTTACTATTTATAGTAGGGCAGAGCTGTACCTCAATTAGGGTACAATGACACGTGTCGCAAAGGGGTTGGGCCTTTGCTGACCGTTGCAAGCTTGACACGTGGCAAGCCTTTATAGGGCCACGTGTCTTAGGGTATTTTTATCCTAAACAATAATCATATATACTTGGCGCATTAAGAAATTTTAATCCTACGTAGCTCTCTAAAGATTCGGGAAAAACTCCATACATATAATAGATTATTTGGGGAATTGGGCCCTTTGATTGGAGGACATGAGTGGAGCTGGGAGAGTTATGTTCAAATTTTTTACTCCATATGCTATAAATATTTAATTCGTTTTTAATTGTGAATTTGTGATGAAAAGGAAAATAAAATTCATAATCAAGATTACATTTAATGACACCAACTTAATGTGTAGCTATTCATTGATACAACCATAGCTTGTCTCTATATTAAATTGACACAAGCTTGATTATTAAAGACCATCAGTGACATTTTGTTGACATAAGTGAGTTTAATTTTAAAAAGCTAAAATAATTTGTAATAATAAGCTAAAATAATTTTTTAATAAACTAAAACATTATTGTTAGTTCATCGAAACTCGATCTTCAAATTAAGAGTGAAAGAGAAGCTAAGGGATAATAATGAGGATATTAGGTTTAGAATTTAATTAGGATAATAATTAGGAAATTTGCTCTTTATTCATTATTATTGTAAATAAATTAAAATTTGTTTCAACTTTTTAAAAATTATTTTGATTTTTTTTATTGAATTTCGGTGATTAAAACATACTCCGATTATCGAAATGTCACTGATTGATAGTCTACATGACAAAGTTTTGGTGTCAATTTAATTATAGTGAGATTAGTGACAAGGTTGTATTATTGAATGTATATCGTCATGAGAAATTTTATTATTATATATATATATATATATATATATATATATATATATATATATAACACTTGTACAAGATAGTATAAGAGTTAGGTGGTGAATGTATGTCTTTTTTTTTTTTTTTTAAGGAACACCTTGGCTTACCATTTCCTCACCATATTCTCTGGGTACATATGTGGGTAAGTAATTATCTACATCGTGTACTTGGAGAAGTGGGGGGAAATGCTGCCGGATTTTCCTTAAAATTGGAAAGTCGACATACATTCACTAGTGAGATTAGACGTTAAGAATGGGTTAGGTTGGAGTGATAAGGACCCTTTGGAAGCATGCATTTTTTCACTATATGAATGGTATATGCATGGTGTGTGTTTGAATTTGATTTACATAATATATGTAGCAATTATACATTATTCATAATATGTTGCTATGTTTAGAGACAATTTACTAAATGGAGAAGGATCGTGGTTAGATGTATGGTAGACGTAGTACAGTAGAATTCTTTCATGGGGTTCAAGAGTTTTGTGATAGGGCTTCATCTTATCAGCGCAGAATGGGTGTCGATTGCCTCTATTGTCCTTGTGTTGATTGTAATAATGTGAAGGTGGTCAATAGTGTTGAAATCATTAGAGATCATGTAATTTGTCGTGGGTTTATGCTTAAATACCATGTGTGGATTTGGCACGGTGAAGAAGGAGAGTACAATGGGGATGTTGATGGGAATGATGTGCATGATAGAAGCAATGAGATTCGTGTGGACGAGGAATACGGATGAATATATTATTGATAATGGTGATGAGGATGGATTTGAGGATGATCAGGTGGATGAGGTCGAGGATGAAGAGGTGGATGAGATGATGCATAGTGTTGAAGGTGACGTGTTTGAGTCATTATCGGAGGCTTCTAAAAAGACTTTGTATCCTGGGTGCAAAAAATACTCCAAACTATCAGCCGTGCTAACACTTTTTAACATTAAGTCGAAGCATGGGTGGACGGACACTAGTTTTACTTCTTTGTTGACCGCGTTAAGTGAGATGTTGCCTGACGGGAATGAAATTCCTGAGTCTTACTATTATGCAAAGAAGCTCATGTGTCCATTTGGTTTGGAGTATAAGAAGATACATGCATGTCCTAATGATTGTATTAACATGCATGTCCTAATGATTGTATTCTTTATCGAAATGAATATGAATAATTGGAGGAGTGTCCACGATGCAAGAAGTCGCGCTACAAGTGCATGAGTTGCAATGCTGGTACGAAGGGACCTCCTGCTAAGGTGTTGTGGTATCTTCCCATTATTCCAAGGTTTAAGCGTCTATTCTCTACACCAAAAGACGCTAAAAACTTGAGGTGGCATGCAGAGGGAAGAAAGAAAAACAGAATGCTGAAGCATCCAGCTGACTCCCTGCAATGGAAGAACATTGATATGAAGTTTGGGAAATTTGGTGATGAAGTCATAAATTTAAGGCTTGGGTTGTGCACGGACAGGATGAATCCATTTGGCACTTTTAGTACCCAACACAGCACATGGTCGGTACTTTTAGTGATCTACAATTTGCCTCCTGGTTGTGCATAAAACGTAAGTATGTAATGCTTTCACTGCTAATAATGGGGCCAAGGCAACCTGGAAACGACATAGATGTTTATCTTGCGCCACTTGTTGACGATTTGAGAAAGATGTGGGATGAAGGGGTTTCCGTTTTTGATGCTCATAAGAATGAGATGTTCACATTGCGTGCAGCTCTTATGTGGACCATTAATGATTTTCCTACATATGGCAACTTGTCTGGGTACAAGAACAAAGGAAAAAAAGCATGCCCCATTTGTATTGATGACACACCAAGCATACACCTTGATCATTCTCACAAAGAGGTGTACGTGCGGACCCGAAGGTTTCTCAGGCGCGATCACCCGAACCGTAGGCAGAAAAAGGCTTTTGATGGGACAGTGGAATAGGGGACTGCGCCAAGGCCATTGACTGGTGAGGAGTTAAGGGTATACGAACAGTATTTGGAAAAACAGAAAAAGCTGCGGACTCAACTGCTCTCTTTAAAAAAGAATCAATCTTTTAGAAGCTTCCGTACTGGAAAGAACATGACGTTAGGCATTGTCTTGATGTGATGCATATAGAGAAGAATGTGTGTGATGCTCTTGTAGGAACGCTGATGAATATTCAAGGCAAAACAAAGGATGGAAAGGGTGCACGGTTAGATTTGGAAAAAGATGGAGGTTCGTTCAGAATTGTGGGCTCAGGAAAAGGTTAGAAAGGGAAAGGAACAGGAAAAGGAAAATGAAATTGTTTCGAAAAAATGAAAAGGGAAGAGCCAGGGAAAGGGAAAGGAAAAGGGAAAGGCCTCAGATGCGTCGAAGAAGAAATATGAGGGTAAAGGCAAGGATGAAAAGGCTTATTTACCTTCGGCTTGCTACACATTGTCAAGGGTAGAAAAACGGATGTTTTGTGCATGTATGTACGAAATTAAGGTTCCATCAGGGTACGCATCTAACATGAAAAGATTTGTATCCTTAAATGGAGAATTGAAGTTGACAAGTATGAAATCCCATGATTGTCACATTATGATGCAAGTATTCCTACCAATTGCAATACGTGGTATTTTACCGAAGCACGTGAGGGAAGCTATTACAAGCCTTTGTTCATTTTTCAATACAATATGCAGCAAAGTGCTTGATCCTTATACACTTGATGCTTTGCATGCGGATGTGGTTGTGACTTTGTGCAAATTTGAGATGTATTTCCCACCCTTATTTTTTGACATATGGTGCATCTGATTCTTCATTTGGTTCGTGAGATTAAGTTTTGCGGTCCAGTGTTCATGAGGTAGTGCTATCCTTTTGAAAGACACATGGGTACATTGCAAAATAAAGTAAGGAATCCGGCTCACCCGGAAGGAAGTATGATTCAAGGGACCGTGGGTGAGGAGATTGGTAATTTTGTGGCCGACTATATAGCTGTTGCTGAACCTATTGGTCTTCCTACTTCTCTACATGAAGGGAGACTTGATGATCATGGAAAAATCGAGTCCAAACGAATGTCACCTGACCGAGATAAGTTCTTACAAGCACACCTATTTGTGTTACACCATGTTGCAGATGTTCACCTATATTTAGACGAGCACATGGCTAGTTTGCGTGATGAATTTCCATCAAAAGGTGAAGGGCACTGATGCAGTTGCATAATAAGAGGTTTGTGTGTTGGTTTCGTGATCAAGTGATGGATCGATTGGATGAGAGTGTCACTGATATAGTAAGGTGGTTTGCTTATGGTCCTAGGGATGATGTTCGCTCATTTGAGGGATGACATAAATGGGTACACTTTTTGGACTGAGCGTCAGGATTTGAAATCTTCCTCTACCCAAAACAGTGGTATAATGCTTATGGCATCGTCAAGGGAGTTTGCAAGTGCTAAGGATAAATCACCCGTTGATACAGGGTTGTCATACTATGGTTGAATTCAAGAAATATGGGACCTTGATTATTGTAACTTCACAGTTGCTCTTTTCCAGTGTAAGTGGATTGATAATATCAAGTGTAACGTCAAATATGATGACTTTACTCTTGTAGATCTTGGCCACCTGAATGATAGTGCAAAACCATTCATCCCTGAGCTGCATTTCAAGCTAAGCAAGTGTTCTATGTAACCGACCCAGTCGATTCAAAATGGTCTATGGTGCTAGTCGGCAAAAGAAGAATCCTAGGCATTGGAGATGTTTGATGAGTCTATTATATATATATATATATTTATTTATTCCCCTTCCCACGGTCATATTTGTGCTTATTTGAGCTCTACGGAGCTATTTTTATTACTAATATACGTTTTCTAGTGTTTTTGTAGAGTTGGTATTATTTTGTAAGAATTTACAGATTTGATAATTTCGGAGCTTATTGAGCCACTACGAAGATATTAGAGTTTGGATCGTATTTTATGACCGTATACTTAAAGCCCAAGACCGAGTTAAAAAAAGTTAGTTCGGCGATCAAGGGCTCGATATGTGAGAAGGTCCAAGATTTTACAAGTTATTGTTACGGACCAATCAAGGAAAGAAATTTGGGCCAAAAGCTTGAAGGGGCCCGAGCTTGCAAATCCCATCAAAGAAGTAATTGGTATACACTAGACCCTAGTGTAGGTAGCCCAACCTACACTCCCTCTAAACGCAGCGTTTAGAGTTACTACCCACACCCCCTCCACTAACCCACAATAATTACCCACTCCCCACAATAACCACAGTAACTGCATAACTAACTTCCCCTACCCCACATATATATATACATAAAAAAAATAAAAAAAAAATCAATTTCAAATCATTCTCTCTCTCTAAACACCATCTTCTTCATTTCTCTAGAGTTTCTCTCTCATCAAACCCAACGAATCGGAACAAATTTCAATTTAAATCACTGAAAAATTGCTTCAAAATACTCCAAAATTGCTTCAAATGTCTGATATTCGAGAAGAAATTAAACAATCACAACAAAAAGAGTAAGTAATTTCGTTAGTTTTGTTCATTTTTTGAGATTGTAGTGCAATTTTATGTGTGAAACCTTAATTTTGTTCATTTTGTTGCGATTGTAGTGCGATTTTGCAAAAAACCACTACAGAGAAGAACATGCAAGAAGAAACTGCAAAAACGGAGCAAAATGTATCTAAAGAGTAAGTAATTTTGTTCATTTTCTTTCGATGACAATTATAGTGCGATTTTATGTGTGAAACCTAATTTTTGTTCAATTTTTTGCAATTGTAGTATGATTTTGGAGAAGAATACTTCAGAGACGAGTAATTTGTTGAAAATTTCTGAAGAAATGTATGAACCCTAACTTTTGTAAAACCTAATTTGTTCATATTCTTGCGATGAAAATTATAGAGCGAATTTATTTGTAAAACCTAATTTTTGTTAAAAATTTTTGCGATTGTAGTAATTGTTCTAAGATTTTACTGAAAATAACTAAAACATTAACAATTTATTAAATAAAACATAGACGATGATGATGATGTACCTCTTCAGTCAAGAGTAGACAAATTGAAAAAAAACCGCTAAAATGATCCAATTGTAGATCCGGAACTTTTAAAAGATATTGACATTTCAATTGGTACGGATTTAACAATGTCTCCACTACCAAGGTAATTAGTCATTTACAGAATATATTATGTTCATGTCTAATATGCTAGTTGTATTTGATAAAAATTGGTTTTATCTTTGTTTAATATGTTATTTGTATATGATCATATTTGATACTCATAATGTTCATTTATAGATATAGTTATGATCATATATTTATATTTGTTCATATGAGTATTTATCGAGATTTAAGAACAAAAGTACATTTCATTGAAACATCATTGTATATGATCATATTTGATACTCATAATGTTCATTTATAGATATAATTATGATCATATATGTATATTTGTTCATATGAGTATTTATTGAGATTTAAGAACAAAAGTACATTTCATTGAAACATCATTGTATATGATCATATTTGATACTCATAATGTTCATTTATAGATATAATTATGATCATATATGTATATTTGTTCATTTGAGTATTCATTGAGATTTAAATAACAAATATACATTTCATTAAATCATCATGCACATATATAAATATGATAATAATCATTTCAGTGATATGCATTCAAACTAATGTCATGTAATTAATTTATAATGTAGTGATGTGCCATTTAGAGTGATACGCTTGCTTCAATTTAGAGATGGGAAATCTGAACCATTAACTCTAAAGAAGGTTATAGAACAAAATGAATATGGTAATAGTTATGAAAGATACACTTTAAACAAGTAAGTTTATATGTATAAAATAATTGTTTTTACATTCAATTATTGTACATTGTATATATATACCAAACTTATTAGGTAATTCTTAAAATTTTAGTGAAAAAAAAGGTTCGAGTGAAATTTGTTATGTCAAAATCAAGACCACCAGAGACAAATCAAACAATAAGGTATAAAAGCTTTATACCAAAATAACTAATCATCTTCTTCATTGTATAAATTAGTTCATACTTTAATATCATATTATATAAAATAATTTTGTTTTTTTAAGTGAACAAAGTGAGAACATTCCTGCTACTAATGCAACAACTAAGAGTGTGTCTGCTACACATAACACAACTGACAAAGAGAGTAGGGATGAAAGGTATACTAATGATCAATTTTATATCAACAAATGTTCATTTTTATAACAGTATATTTTGTGTACAATTTATGTGCATTTTTTATTAAAAGTATTTCATTTTTATTTAAAGTATTTCTTAATATTGATTTCAGCAAGCAAGAAGAAGTTCAACCAAAAGTGCAAAGCAATCCAGTAAAGAATAGTCTTGGCCAAAAGTAAGAAAACTTAAATGTTCAATTTAGATAGACTATATGTTCATTTGAAAATCAGTACAAAAAAGTTTGCTCATGACCAACAGTAATATAAGTTATATGTTCATTTTTTTATTTACTAATCAAAATTGTAAATTCAAACATATTTTTAATGAAATATCAGAAAACCCAAAGATGATGCAAGAATAACAACATTAAAGGACAAGATGCAAGAAATACATTTAGACATAGAGAGAAACCCAAAGTATGTTTAAATTTAAATAATTGAATTAATTTAATCAATTAATGAATATATTTCAAAGTTATATAACAATATCATACATTTACAGGAAGTACAAAGAATCGACAATCAAAATTATGAGAAATCTCAAAAGAATGGAAAAGGCAAGCAAGGAAATCAGGAAAGGTAAATGATCATATTTATTGAATATTTTTGTTTAATAGTCATAAATATCAATTTTAACAATACTATTACTTTTGAAGGTGAAGCAAAAAAGAAAGAAAAAGGGCCAATAGAAGAGAAAACTATGGAAAAAGGTAAAAATTTTAAAATGTACATTTTTATTACAAAAAATGTTCATATTGGAAAAGCATAATATTAAATATTCAATAAGACTAAAAAAATTAAATTTTAACTAAATAAATTTTAATAGAAGGACAAGAAGGAAAAAAAAGGGACTGAAAAAGAGAAAAGCCCTAAAGACAAAACTGTGGAAGATGTCTTTCCAAAGACAACAAATGTAGAAGGTAAAAATTTATAAATGTACATTTTTATTACATAAAATGTTCATATTGGATCTACATAATATTGAATGTTCAATAAGATTAAAAAAATATATAAATATTAACTAATTAAATTTTCATAGAAGGACAAGAGGGAAAAAAAGAGCTTGAAAAGGAGAAAATCCCTAAAGAGAAAACAGTGGAAGATGAGTCTACAAAGACAACAGATCCGAAAGGTAAATAGTAGAAAATGTACATATTCATTATCTGAAATGTTCATTTATATTGTATATAGTAAACATTTGTCATCCAATTTAAATAAATGTTTATTTAATCTTTTATATTTGATCATTTCATATGCAGCACAAATTGCACCTGATTTTGTTCAAATTGAGGATGAAACTTATCTTCTAGATCAAGATGATGATAAAGTTTCCACAAAACTTAGTGAGGAGACAACTCCATCATCACAAAAAAGTGATCATTCAACCAAAATGAAAACAAGATACAAAATGGTTGCAAGGAAAAACAAAAACAAAAGCCTTGTTGTTGTGCCAAGTGGTAGAATTACAAGGAGCCAAGGTAATCATAATACTTTTCTGTTTCACAATAAATATTACACTTTCAAATATACTAACATAAATTTTTTTAAAAACAATAGATGTTCTGTTAGATGAATCTGAAAAAGGAAGCCTGAAGAAGGATGTTGAACCTGCTAAAGAAACCGCAAAAATAGGACAGAAGAGAAGAATGTCTACAAGGACTTTTCCTATTCAAAAGGAAGCTGATGCACCACCTCCAGCACCTACTCCAATAAAAAAAATGGCAGGTGCTCCTGCTGAATATCCTCCAGACCAAGGCAAAAAGGGTAAATGTTCAATCTTAATGTATAGAATGATCATTTATGATGGTATATCATTAATGTTCAATTTCAATATATAGGTGGGAAAAAGAAAACTCCAGAAGAAGTGAAGAAAACTTCTAAGGTTGCTGGCAAAAGAAAAGCAGGTATATAATGATATATTATAAATGTTCAATTTCTATATATAGAATGATCATTTGAGAAAACAATTTTGTTCATTTTATCATTTGCTTACTGTACATTTTCAATACTTAAACAAAATTATATATTTAATTTTCAGATGTCAGTCCTGCCAAGAGAAATGCTGGAAAGAGAAAAAAAATACAAGAAGTACCATCAGATGAACCCTCTCAAGATCCTACTGATGAAAGTTCTACTGACAGTGATGATGATAGTGAAGAGTCAGTTTATAGAGCAGAAGCAGAGCCTGTCAGTGAGGATGATTATGAGGTGGAGGAAGAGGAGGAAGAGGAAGAAGTAAAGCCAAGGAAGAAACAGGCAAAGAAAGGGAATTCAGTGAAGGCAAAGGTTGAAAAGGAGGAGCAAAAGATGGTACTGTATGATGAAGGAAAGATTGAAGGTAGGGGAAAAAAGAAAATGAAAACTGAAATGGTTCAAGCAATAGAAACTGATGAAGTTGAGGAAATTCAGGAAGATGAATTTGAGGAAGAGAAATCTTCAAAGAGAGGAGGACATGTGAAGTTCATTGCATGGATAAAAAAGATGACACCTACCCAAAAACAACAAGTTGTTGATATAGGGTTAGGATCACTTCTTGACATTAGTTTACCTCAACTTGATCAAAAGTTCTGTAATTGGTTATTGGGAAGTTTTGAAGAAAATAGCCAGTGTTTTGAACTACCAAAGAATGAAAAAATAGAAATTGAGGTAGAGGATGTTAGGGTAGTTTATGGCTTGCCTACTGGAGAAATTCCAATTGTTGAGCCAAAGTCTGATAAAATTAGTGAGGAGTATGCAGAATTTCTGAAGAAATGGAGAAAATCATGGTCAGGAAAAACTCCATCAGTGAGTCAGGTATGATCAGTTTTAAATGTTCATTTTAAATACATTAAATGATCAAAAGTATAAATGTTTTGTTCATTTTGTTTGCAGATTGTGAATGGATACATAAATGATAAATTCACCAACAACAGACCACCAAGTGAACATTTCATTACTAACTTTTTAGCAGTGGCTGTGAACTGCTTGATGAAATGTGTATCAAACAATCAATGCCATTTCAAATTTCTTTATTCTATGATGGACAAAGAAAACATAAAAAATTTGAACTGGTGTCAGTTTGTATATGACTCACTTATCAAATGTCATGTTGATTGGAGAAAGCAGCAAGGCAAGGGGTTCTACAAAGGCCCTCTTCAATTTCTGATGGTATATTCTTAGATACAAAATGTTCTTTTAAATTTAAATAAATGCACTTTTTTTTATTGTTTATGTTCTGTTCCATGTTTTCTTTTTTCTTGTAGTTGTTCTATTTTGATAGAGTTCAGAGGTTAGACAAAAGGCCTCCAAGAACAATTCCTATCATATCTGCATGGAATAGAGACATGGTTCTTGAGAGGTTGAAGATTGAATTAGAATTGGGATTTGGGAGAGGGAAAATTCTACCAAGGATTGCTGCAGAAGTTGAAGAAAGTCCTAAGGTTATAAAATGATCACTTTTGTTAACCTCATTTGTATAATCTGAAATGTTCAACTGCATAATTTTTAATATTCATTCATATAGGTTTTTATGGATGATTTTGTTTCCCTGGTAAAAACAACTTGTTCAAACCTGTCAAAGCTTTCTTCAAAATTGGTGAAGGCAAAGGATATCTTCCCTGGAAATGACTTGGTGAAAAAAGTTGATGAAGTTTTAGGAAAGGTGGCAGCTAGGGAACCATCAATTCTAAGCCAAGATGAAGAATTATTTGGTAGTGAGGATTTCCTAAATGCACTTGCACAAGCTGAGAAGAATCTGATGCAAGGGTCTGAAAAGCAAACAACTGAGAAGCAAATGACTAGGAAGAAATTAACCAAAAAGGGAAAGGAAAAAGAACAAGAATATGACATCAGAAAAGCTTTCAGCTTGGGGTTGACTCCACCTTCTCCAGCCATTGGTAAATTCTAACTAAAAGAGACTATATATCCTAATTTTTATATGAAAAATTCTAAATTTGTGGTCTAAATTGTCCTAAACAGAAACAGGGCCCACCTCTTCAACACTTGGTGATATAATTGAACAACCAATAATTTCAACAAATGGTAATATGTTCATATATTTAATAATAATGTACATAAACTTAAGTAGAAATGTTCATTTCTAATTATTATGTGTAAATACTATTAACTTAGTGTATCTCCAAAATGATGATTTATAATACAGCTGGAGAAAAGGATGTGGGTAAAACTTCAGCAGCTTTAGAACAAAGAATTGAAGAATTTTCTAGAACTGGTATAATGTTAAATTAAAAAGTGTAAAATGTTCATTTACAAACAAGAAATATTCATTATTAATTGTATTTTTTTGTTAGACGCAGCAACTGGTTCAAAATTTGATGCTGACACTAGGTCAGATAATGAAGGATTGCCTAGAACAGGTATAATGTTCAATTATAAATACTCAAATGTTCATTTACAAAGAAATAATATTATATCTAATTAAATTTTTTCTTAGATGCAGGATCTGGTTCAGTGGTTGATGCTGACCCTAGGTCAGATGGTGGTGAAAAAAGTGATGATCCAAAAAACACAGTTGGAGGTGGAAAACAAAACAAGGAAGATGTTTTTGAAAAAACAAAAAATGATGAAAAAGTGGAGGGGTAAAATCCTGAAGACATGTCTTACTATTAGGGTTATGTAATTAGTAAGGAAAAAATATCTAGATGGAACAATTTAACTTATGTTACTATCGTGTTGTAACTTGAAACTGGAGTTTCTCAAACTAGTGTATGTGTGTACATTATTTTGTTGAATATGTAATATGAATGTGTGGTTTATGTTAAATCAATATCTTTCATTTTATGAATTGAAAATGATTCAGGGTGTTACATAAGAAGCTTATATTTTATTAATATGTACTGACATTGTTTGACTTTTCAGTGAAAAACAAGAAGATTGTTGCTTCATCCTCAAAAGTCACAAAAAGGTACATTATTTATATTAAGTAAATGTTCAAAAATAATAATGAACATTTTCATATACCTAAATGTACATTTGTGTTATGTAATATGACCAGGAATGATGATAAGAAAAAGTCAATTGCAGAAAAGAAGAAAAAAACTGAAAAGGAAAAGGTTGAAAGGTATAATTTCAAATTTATTTATATACACTCAAATGTTCATTTATGTTCCTCATAATTTTCTTAATTTAACAATATTTTATATTGAACAACAAGACCAAAACGCGAAAAGCAAACAATTCCTCCTGCTTTCCGATCTCCTTACTTGGTCAAGTACAAGGATCTGTTTAAAGATGAGAAAGCCATGAACGAAATTGCAGTAGACTTTGCTCTTGGTGGAAAAGATGAAAGGTAATTACTTACACTAATTAAAATTAAGGTTTAATATCTTTTATAAAAATATGTTCACATTCATATTATTAAATGTTCATAATGCAGTGCACTCTTATACTATGATGGCTTGAATCTCATCAATAGAAATGAAATGAAAACTCTTGGAGATGATGTTGAAGTGACAAATTGTGTCATAGATGGATGGGCAAGGTTTCTTAATCATAAAAAGCCGAGAAACAAGATTTATTTCTCAACAGTGCTTCATGTTAGTCTTTCTTCTTTTTTTATATTATTGATTCTATTTTCCTATGATAAATAATTGCTAAAAATTCATTTAACTTCTATATGTTTGTTTCTATTTCAACAGCACATTATGTGCACAAATAGAGTTTGTCGAGAAGGATCATCAATGAAGACAAGAATTAATGCCTTCATAGAAAGAATTGACAATGAACTGAAGTTGAATAAAATTGACAGCATTGTTGGATATAAACAGGTATTAATTCTTGTTTAATACAAATGTTAAATTACATTCAATATATTGTCCAATAACATTATATAATTTGTTCAGGTCTTCTTCCCAGTATCAACTTCTCAACATTTTTTTCTGTTGTGCGTCAATCATATAGAAGACAAAATTCATATAATTGACAATAGAAAACTACCAAAAAAGGTATCAGTCCAAGCAAAATATGAAGAACAACCAAAAATGATGGTGAGATAATATGTTCATTTATAGTTGGCTACATGATCAATTATATTTTATTAATTGTTCATGTCTTCATCACAATACAAACTTCTAAACAATTTTTACTCTTTTTTCTATCAGTTAAAAGGATTGGCAGAGTACATGAAACACCTTGGATATCAAGATGCAAAAAGAATTGAAGACTACACAGTTGTTTTGGAAAAGATGAAATGGCGTAGCAACAATGACTATACAAACTGTGGAGTTTACATGATGAAGCATATGGAAACCTTCACTGCTGATCCTAATGAGAGCTGGATTTGTGATTTAAAACCAAACAATGTAAGAGTTATAAATGATCAATTATTTAAGATATAATATTCATTTATGAAACAGTAAAGATTGTTTAATTAAAATTTGACAATTCATTTTGTTCAACAGGTGGAACAAATTAGAAAGCTAAGGCTCCAATACACAGCAAATAGAAGGAAAACACTGATGTTATTTGAAGAAAACACTGAATCAAGAGCAAATAGAAGGAAAGCTAGAAAATTTGCAACTTTGTAGTTTCAAATGTTCATTTACAACTATGTATATGTTCATTTCTTATATATGACTATTTTTTTTTTAAGAAATAGACTTATGGATTTTATTTTAATATTATTGTAATTGATATTTCATTTTAATCTTTGAATGAAAGTTTTTTATATTTTATTTTAATATTATTGTAATTGATATTTCATTTTAATCTTTGAATGAAAGTTTTTTATAAGTTTTATAAATTGGATGTTGGTTCTTACTTTTGTTCATATACAAATAACTAAATAATCATTGATAAATGTAGAATTTTAAAACATATAAAATTCTAATGACTAAATAATCATTGATAAATGTATAATTTTAAAAACATATAAAATTCTAATATAAAGTTCAAATATACTAAAAATAGTACTATATAAAATATAATATTTATGTCTTTTGCATAATAGATCGAAAATTCAAAATTACAAAATAGTAATTAAATCAACATTACAAAAAAGTCTAATGTTTATAAAGTTTTGGAATACTAATTATTTATCTTTATTAGCCAAACGTTTAGCTACACTTGTATCAAAAAAGGCTAACAACCTATCATACTTAGAAGAAATCTTTTTAGAACCTAATTGAACATTTCTTGATTGAAGAATTGGAACACGAGCACCTTGATCATTTCTTTGAACTGTGGGAGGAGTAACTTGAACATTCTGAACACGAAATCCTTGATCATTTATTTGAACCGTAGGAGAAATAACTTGAACATTTGTTGATTGAACATTCCTGGAGTTGGATATGTTCATTTCTGGATTGGTGTTTGAACAATTCTGAGTTTGATTTTGAACATTCCTGAGAACAGTAGGTTGAATAACAACAGGAGATTTTGTTGACGCACTAGTATGAATTGGAACTCTTGGATTAATTTGAGAGTAAGTTTTAACACCAGAAGCACCTTTATTTGCACCAACATTAGAACGAGCTTGAACAGCAGAAACACCTTCAAGATTTAAATCCTTCGCCTTTAAAAAAAATTAAATTGATCATTAATAAACCAGTATATGATCAGTTACAAACACTTATACAAACAAATATGGGAAAAAAAAACCTTAGCAATAGATGAAATATCAACATCAATAGATATGCTAGATGAAAGAGAGCTTTAACCAGTAGCCTACAAAAAAACCAAAAAAAAATATAAAAAATTAAAAATTAAATAAAAAAAAATTATAATATAGATCATAAATGCCAAAAAATAAAATAAATTTATAATCAATAACAAACAAACATACCTGATCAAAATCATTGGAAATACTATGATTTGATTCCTTAGAACTAGAAGGAATTTCTTCTACAACAGCTAATTTTAAGCCGACCTATATTTTTAAATTATAAAAATCAATATTAATAAAATATAAATAAAATGTTTTTTTTGGCACATTTGAATTTACCTGAGCCCGTTTATTGCTCAAAACAATCAATTCAATGGGATCACTAATAGAATTAGCATAAGTAACAGCATAACCGTTCTCATCAAGTTCCTATTTAAAAAAAACATAAATGATCATTTACGAAAACTGAAATGATCAATTTGAAAATATGAAATGATCATATACATGTACAACTGCTTGCCCTATACCCCTTTTGTAAGGAGTGTACAGAGACTTTTTCCTCTTGAAATTACCCTTTTCCTTGTTACACTGCTTCTCCAAGGTACTCTTAGGCCTTACATTCCTCTCACCTTTAAGCCTAGCTTTTGGAGGATTCTTGATCTCAAGATCAACAATTTCAACCTCTTTAACAGGTTCACTAAAGTCAATTACACCTGATACACTCTCAACCTTTTCTTTTAACAGATTGAAATAACACTCAACCTCTGCCCTTGCATTCAAAGAATTCTGACAACTTGTTATCAACTTAACAAACTTTCTGATTGTTTGTGACCTCCAAACACTAGTAGCCACAACATTTGTCCTCAAAGTAGGTTCTTCAATACCATGACTACACATGGCAGCCTTTGTCCATCGTTTCATTATATACTCTTGTGGAATATTACGCACACAATGCAAATGATATACTCGAAGAGAATGAGAACAAAGTAAACCAGTCTCACTAAAGTACATGCATGTGCAACAAATTGCATGTGTTTCCTTATTAAAAACAACTTCATGCTTAATTATATCCTTCCCAGGCCTCCAAAGAAGATATGAATATTCTGGAAAACGCAAACCACTATCAACATGATCATAAGCTGTCCCCCTAATGAACTCCTCTTCAAAAAGCACATAAGCTTGAATAGTGTACAATGATCTTGCATGAACTAATATACCAATATTAGCAAAAGCTAGGTGCCTATTACCCCTCAGAGTATTGTAATCTCTTGCACCTTCCTTACTTCTCCACTCAGAAATGACATCAAGAAAAACATGATAAAAATCACATAAACCTTGAGTCTTATTAAGACGTTGTGAAACTGACTTATTAGTAGTTTCACTACGTTGAGAAGACAATATACCACCAGACCAATACTTCTTAGAATAAGCAGGACACCACATTTTCTTTATTTTATACAAATCACATAACCAATCATCATTTTCACATTTGTATTTATCACACATCCTGTATAACAGAAATGATCATATATTAATTGAAAAATGAACAAAATATAAATTAAAATATGTACATTTGTATAAAGAATAATGATCATAAACAATATGGACACTAATAATATTATGATAACATACATAACAAAGTAAATTGTATGATCATATGTAAAACACTAAATGTTCATATATATATCACATAATAATCAAATATATCACATAATAAAAATAAAAAATAAATACAAAAAACAATAATTTACCTTTTCTAGAAATATTCAAATTCAGCAGGAGTTTCACAATACTTCAAAAGATATCCAAACAAATCTGTAAAGCCTTCCAAAGCTCTCAATGCTCCAATGTGTTTCTTAGAATTTTGTTCAAGATGTCATACACATAAACGATGATGAACAGTTGAAGGAAAAATGTTTCTTATACCTGCTGCAATCGCTTGTGCTTGATCAGTCATAATTGTAATGGGACTTTTCCTCCCCATTGAGTGCAAAAATATATCAAACAAACAATAAAAAGACTCGGTGCGCTCATTAAGAATAAAACCCATACCAAACATGACATTGTTACCATGATGGTTCATCCCAACAAATGGAGCACATATCATTCCATATTTATTAGTTCTATAAGTTGTATCAAAAACCAACAAATCTCCAAAGTAATGATAATCTCTCATCATCCTACCATCACGCCAAAAAAAACTAACTAAAGCACCACTATCATCTTGTTCAAAATCATAATAAAAATCTGCCTCATCCACATGTCTCTTGGCAAAATATTTAATCAATTGGTTACTATCACATCCTTCAATTTGGGCAGCTTTTTCAGATGACAATGCATTATAAGCATCAGAAGCAGTAAAACAAAGATTAGGAGATCCCCCAACCTCCTTCTTTAGAACCCTCAAAGAATCAGTAACTTTGACTCCACTCAATTTCATTGTTGAAATGAAAAGAAGCTGCTCTTTATTCACATCTCTTTGAGACCTTATCAAATGCCTTTTTTCAGGAGGAATCATAGCATGATTATGAACCATTTCATGTCTTGTACATGTATAGACCCCTAAATGATCAATGTGAAACTGCACAAAAGCTAAACAACCAGTTCGATGATCCAACTTCTCATAAATCCTTTTATTCTTACACTTATTATCTTTGAATCCCTCATTACAACAAACAAATCTTTTCATCAAAAAAGAATCATCTCTTCTTCTCTTACTCTTCCCAATTCGAATTCCAAAACCTTTCCTAAAAGCATATTCATTATACGCTTCGAAAGCTTCATCTTCAGATTTAAATTCTTTATCCTTTAATTCAGACTGTTCTGCTTCTAAATACATAATATCATCATTTTTTTCCACTGCACAATATACAATTATAAATGATCATAAAGAGTTTCATGAATGAACAATAACAAATAAGTAAAATGTTCAATATCAAAACAGCACATGATCAATTGCAAAAAGAATTTCAGCACATAATATTTTGAACAATATTTTCATTATTTACCACTACACATAATATCGATATAAAAATGTAAAAATAAATGATCAAAAATGACTTTAAGACTGAACATAAACACATTAGTAAGTATGAATAAGAAAACATAAACGATTAATTGAAAGTATAATCTACAAAATATACGACAAAAACACACAATTCTTAAACACAGAGAAAACAACAAATGAAACAACAAATGAAGCAACAAAATGTTCATACAAAGTATAACAATCCAAAAACGTTCATCATAATGTAATCAAAGTAGTAAATTCAAAAATCGAAAGTGAATAATAATACATCAATTAAGTTCAAATTAACAGAGCATTATAACAGAACAAATTAGAGATAATTAAAAATTGCAAAATTATGATCACAATTACTCACATTGTTGCACAAACGAATCAACCAAACGAACTCCAGAAGGAAACACACGCTCGCAATCACGATCAAAATCAACGCAATCTCCAGATGCAGAATTCGCCATTGATGATCGGTAACAATTAACGAGTTCGTTCAAAAAATCAAATGAAGAAGATGAATTAGCGAGAGAAAAATGTAGATAAAAAATGGAGGTTGATCAATTGAAGAGAGAGAAAAAATAGGGTTTAAAATCATATATATACATAACTTGAATAATAAGAAACAAAGAAAAAAAGAAAAAAGAAGAAGAAAAGAAAAAAAGAAAAAAAGGAAAAAAAAAAAAGGAAAGAAGCTGCACATGAGAATTCAATACTAGCTACAAAACGACGTAGGATAGGGGGGTGTAGGGAACACACCCTACACTAGGGTGTAGGGTAAAATTTTCAGCAAAGAAGAAAGAAGCTGCTGGGCGTGAAGTTTACTGGGCCTGATCAGGCAGGGCCTTGCACGGTCTGGCGAGTGTAGTCCAATTGGGCCTAAATTCACGAAGCTTGATTAGCGGAGGAGTTTTGAGCTTAGCTATCTTTTAATAGCTTTATAGTTTTAGATTAGTTAATCTTTTCAACAACTTTTGTTTTATTAGCTTTAAATAGTTTTATGTTTTCTATTTTATATTCTTATCTTCTTAGACTTTTAGTTAGGCTAGGATTCTTTCTTATTCTTATACAGAGGAGTAGCAGTACGTAGGAGGGAGTTTTTTTTAAGTAGTTATTAGCCTATTCTTAGTTTTGTTCTTTTTGGTTTATAAATACTTTTAGTATTAGATTCTTTGGATGCTTTTTATTTTGTTTTACGTATACTTTATTTTATTACTCTTTATTTATTTTTGCTTCTTTATTTTAGTTTTATCGTTATTGCTTTTAATCATGCTTAATTTAATTGCTTTGATTTAATATGCTTTGTTTAATTGCTTTGCTTAGTTTAGATTTAATTATGCGTGAGTAGTTTTATACTAGGGTTTGTGGGGATCCATAAATAATATGAAGGGGTAATTTATTAATGTTGATTATTAATGTTTCAGATTAATTTCCTATTGATTGAGTTACTGCTATGCAATTAGATTAGCGCTGGTTTAATTGTATGAGTTATGCAATATTGATTCGAGATTGAAGAGATGAGAATTGATGTTTAGACTTAGTTTCAATAGGCATGTTAATTTATAAATGGTTAAGTCAAGATACGAGAGATGCGATTTAATACTGGTAGATTAATTTTGTGGTTGTAATACGTAGCGAAAGCCCTTTATGATCAGATTAATTCATACATTGATAATTGATTGTTATTTTTCACCCTAGAATATTATTTATTGGTGAACCTATACCCTAGGCCTTTTATTATTGTTTTCCTCCCTTATTTAAATTGCTTTAGTTTAGTTATTAGTTTAATTCTCACAAAAACAATTTGGTTACTTGATAATTTAGCTTATATTAATTAATTAGGAATAAAAAGACTTGTTTCCCTGTGCATTCGACCCTACTTTCCTATCTATTTTAGTTAGTAGTTTTAGGAATTACTTTTGATTAGGTGATACGACTTTAGCCTGTCAATGTTGAGGATGAGGAAGAATATGATGCGTTTATGATTCAGCACCTTTCACTGTTCCTAGACCTGTTGTACCAAATGACATAGACAACCAAGAAAATTATATGCGATCAGACCACAATGAAGGAATATTAGATTGAGGTACTATTATTTGTGATTTTGAAATTGTAGGCGTTGAAAGTATTATAAAAATCACAAGTTAGGTGATTTAAAGAATTATTTTGGTGAAAATGAATGAAAGTGTTAACTTACTTGCCCATTTTTCACATTTTCTTTTAAATGAACAAGTTAATTCTCAAAACATGTTAAATATGATAGGATATAATATTTTAAGTGTTGACAGTTTCATAAAATCACAAGTTAGGTGATTTAGAGAGTCATTTTGGTGATAATGGAATAAAAATGACCTATATGTTAACTTACTTGCCCATTTTCTATGTTGATTTATATTATAATTCATAAATTTATATTTGATAACTTTACCTAACAAATTTATTTCTATTACAAATAATAACGTGTTATGTTTGTAATGGCAGGTGTTTATATCTCATGGAGGACGATGAGGACCTTAATTGTGTAGAGGATATGGAGGATGATGATGATGATGTCAATAAGGATGAGGACGAGCTTTATGATGTCAACAAGGAGAATGATTTGGGTGAGCCAGAAGATCAGGCTCAGGATGAGTTTGAGCGTAGGCTTGATAAATTTGAAATTTCAGCTGAACGTGCACCTCCTATTGAAAATGCAGTTTCTGAGATGGTTGGTGAGAATCCTACTCCTCAAACTCAAAGCCAAGGACAAGGTCAAATGAATAGCACAAGTGGTGGAGAGGGGGGTAAAGGCACTGGCTAAGAAAAAGGGTAGGGGTCCGACGACAAGTTTTAAGAAACCCGCTGGTCCCATGGTCCTGGAGTATGACAAGGTAGGCCAACCTACGGCAAATGGCGTCGAAAATATGCTGTTCAAGTTGGCATATGTGGGCACAAAATCCGCATTACACTTGGTTGGCGGCAAGTACCTCTAGACTTGATTAAAACATTTTGGGATGATACAAGGGCAAGTGTTTTGTTGGCACATTTACACAATTATAAATACCTTCACCTTACTGTTTTTTGAAAGGAGAAACTAATAATCGCTTTTATTTGTGCTTGCAGAGTCAGTTTAATATTCCTAACGATGACGCCAAGCGAAGGGTGTTTGAATCTTTAGTAGCGGAAAGATTCAAAGGCTTCAAAACCACCTTAGTTTGTAGATGGATCACTAAGAAACTTGTGAGAAAACCATAGAAGAAGAAAGCTTGCAAGGGAAAGGATAATGAAGGTGGAAATGACGAAGTTATCGAAGGATGATTGGGAAGGTTTTGTTCTTCAAAGAAATCAAAAGGAAGCAATTGTAAGTTAGGTAAATCTGATGACAATTGTATAATATATTGACTCTTTTTGAAGTAATGATACTAACATTTCTAATTATGTAGGAACTGCGGGAGCAAAATTTAAAAAATGCATTGCAGAGGCTGTACACCCATCGTATAGGGTCTAAGACATTTGGTGAATGGAGGGAAACGTGGGTCAAGGAGGGAGTATACCCCACTTCGTTTCTAGGGTGATCCAAAAAACCCTCTAATTCCACGATTACTACATTGGTGAGTCGTGCTGGCGACTTCATTTGTTCTTTGCATGCGCTTGACAAGGAAACCGGAAAATGGGTCATCAAGGCTTCGGAAACCAAAAAAATAGCAGATAAACTTGTAAGCTAACTATGAACTTGTGAAATTTATGAAGCTTTTGCATAAATATCACTATACAAAAACATTAACTATATTCATGTTACCTTTTTGTTTTTGCTAAAGCTTGAGTACACTGAAGAACTGGTTGAAGGCAAGCTCATCCCAACTATAGAGAAAGACCCTTTCACCTTGGCTTTGGGAAAGCCCTACCATCCAGGACGGGTAGTAGGTTCGGGAGGGACATTTTTAGGATGGGAAAAGGTGATGGGTGCAGAATACACCAAATCAGGAAGATCTCGAGCAATTATTAACTCACCACATGACTTGGATGCTAAGGTGGCATCAATTAAGGAACAAGTACGCAACGAGATAGTAGGTGAATTCAATGCTTGGGCGAAGCAAATGAACTTACCGAGCTTGTCGTTCCCCTCGACTACACCGATCGACTCATGTAGTCACCCACAAGGACAACGAAAAGATGAGGATACATGGAGAAGATGAGATACATGAGGTAATTTCAAATCTATTAGTTTTGGCACATTGAGTTAAGTGAGATCTAAGGTGGCATTATTAATTTACTATTGCAGGTTGGTACTCCTACACATGCGGACTCGAGGGAGCTTGATAATCTAACACCTCATGAATTTCCAGATTTACAGGTGATTTGTTTAGTTCTAGCGTAGTGAATTTCGTTACATTATCAATTCTGTAGGAGAAGACCCCTTGTGATATGTTTGGTTCTTATAAGTGATCTTCCAAATTGGTGTAGGAAGAGACCCGTTGTGCACTTCTACACCTAGGGCTATCAAACAGTGGAGGATTGCATTTGGTGGCGTATGCTAGTACACAACCGACTTATGATACGGTCCATTTGTGATCACTTAGGCCACAACATTACTCGGTCGGGATCAATTCTATGATTGTGGGGTTTCATGACATCCGACTACCGGTGCCCATAGAGGAGGATGGGATTACTACACTTTGGGAAGCAAATGGTAGCTTTGTGCAATGGTCACGTGCTTGGGTAAGGTTGATCAACGAGGTAAGATTTTTAGATTTTATGTTGAATAACCAATATGCACTCACTCACTTTTCCTCAAAAAAAAAAAAAAAAAAAACAAAAATTCTGCCTTAACTCAAGACTCCCCAGGATACAAAGGCTTTTTAGAAGCCTCCGATAATGACTCAAACACGTCACCTTCAACACTATGCATCATCTCATCCACCTCTTCATCCTCGACCTCATCCACCTGATCATCCTCAAATCCATCCTCATCACCATTATCAATAATATATTCATCATTCCCGTATTCCTTGTCCACACGAATCTCATTGCTTCTATCATGCACATCATTCCCATCAACATCCCCACTGTACTCTCCTTCTTCACCGTGCCAAATCCACACATGGTATTTAAGCCTAAACCTACGACAAATTACATGATCTCTAATGATTTCAACACTATTGACCACCTTCACATTATTACAATCAACACAAGGACAATAGAGGTAATCGACACCCATTATGCGCTGATAAGATGAAGCCCTCTTGCAAAACTCTTGAACCCCATGAAAGAATTCCAATGTATTACGTCTACCATACATCCAACCACGATTCTTCTCCATTTAGTAAATTGTCTCTAAACATAGCAACATATTATGAATAATGTATAATTGCTACATATATTATGTAAATCAAATTCAAACACACATCATGCATATACCATTCATATAGTGAAAAAATGCATGCTTCCAAAGGGTCCTTATCACTCCAACCTAACCCATTCTTAACGTCTAATCTCACTAGTGAATGTATGTCGACTTTCCAATTTTAAGGAAAATCCGGCAGCATTTCCCCCCACTTCTCCAAGTACACGATGTAGATAATTACTTACCCACATATGTACCCAGAGAACATGGTGAGGAAATGGTAAGCCAAGGTGTTCCTTAAAATAAAAAAAAAGACATACATTCACCACCTAAGTGAGAGTAAACGTTCAAGAACAGTCCCAACCGGTAGTAATAATAATAATAATAATAATAATAATAATAATAATAATAATAATAATAATAATAATAATAATAATAATAATAATGATGTTAAAATCTGCTCTGCTCTGCTTATCCCTGCTCTGCTCTGCTCTACTCTACTCTGCCCAAAAGCTCAAAAGAACAGGGCCTAATTTATTTCTTCAACTTATTTTCGAAAAAATTAAACTATTTCCGACCCAAATAACCAAATTTTTTTAAAAAAAAAATATAGAAAATTGGATCCAAAATTATTTATCGGATTATATACCCAAATTTCAAGGTATTACACGT